GTCTCCGTCGGGTTCCGCTTCTGCCTCATGCGCTCGACAGCATGTGCCCGAGGAGCCGCTGACACCCCGTGCTCAGGGCTCAGGGAAGGGCCGCGGGTGCAGAAGGCACCGCCCCTCGCCCCGGGGGTCGCGCGCACCCTGGGGTCGCTGCTCCCGCCCCGCACCGGGACTGCCGCCGCCTCCGTGACAGGCTGACGGAGCAGCTGCCCAGAGCGCGCCTGCGCTGGCCCGTTTCTCCGTCCTGTGTCTGTCCCCTTGACGGGGCGGGGTCAAGGGAAGGGACCCCGGGCACAGACAGCTGCAGCCGGCTGGGGACTCTCCTCCCTGCTGCCCCCTGCTCCCCCGCCGCTCCTGCGGACTCCCCGTTTTCGTCTGTCTCTGTGTAGATGGAGGCGGCACCGCCTCACCCCTCCCCTCGGCCGGCTTGCCCACTGCCCTCTTTCCTTGCTGGACATCGAGTCGCCCTGCCCTTGCCGAAGAGCGGGACGTGGTCTGCAGACAGGAGCCTGCCGCCGTCCTCGTTGTCCACAGTGAAGCCGCTTCCCTTCTCCTCCAACCCCGCCCCCTTTACCGGCTGAGGGCAGCGGACCGGCTCGGTACCACTAGCACCTTCTCGGGGTGTCTGTCCATACTGAAGTGAGCACACGAGGCCATGAGCCCCTGTGAGGGCCGCAGCTTGACTCACCCTTTCACGCGCAGCGTCGAGGACGCCCGGGTTCCTGAGGAGAGCCGCGGGACATGCTGCCAGGACTGGCGAGTTCTCACAGGCAGGACCCCGCCGTGGAAGTGCGTTGCTGCACCCGAGGCCGCCGGCGCTGGGCCCCGTGCAGGGTGACGTGCTCCAAGCCCAAGTCCAGCCACCCCGGGCCCCGGCCCTGCGCGCGAGAAGCTCGCAGCAGGATGGTGACCTTCGAGGACGTGGCCGTGGTCTTCACCTGGGAGGAGTGGCGGGGCCTGGACGGCGCCCAGAGGGCCCTGTACCGCGACGTGATGCTGGAGGCCTACGGCAGCCTGGCGGCCCTGGGTGAGTGACGCTGCCGCTTCCCAGTCTCCAGCAAGCGCATGGCTGGTGGTGGAATTTTGGGCTCCAAGTGGCAGCCACAGAAGACGCCTGTCCACCTTTGCGTCCGGACAGGCCACCAGCCTCTCATCGCACAGCCCTGGGGGTCATGTGCGTCTTTCCTCGAAGACTGAGCCTGGGGCAGTTTGATCTAAGCTCGCCATTGTCTTTCATCTACAGGGTTCTGTGTGAACAAGCCTGAGGTGATCATCAGACTGGAGCAGGGAGCAGAGCCGTGGATTGCCAAGGAGCGCCCGAACCAGAGCCCCGTAGGTCAGTCACTGCGCTCTGGCCAGGGAGGCCGGGCCGGGGGAGGGTCTGCTCGGCCCTGCTGAGACCCCCGGCTGCCCCCATCCGGACCTGAGCACGGCTGGTCTCTGCGGGACCCGGTCGTGGGCCGGTCTCCCCGCACGGCGCCCTAGTTGACCTTCCCACACTCTTACAGTGGTCGCAGATGGCCTCAGCCGCACTGGCGTGCAGACCCCAGCGGCCCCCCTTGGAGGTGTTCCTCGGCTCATCACTGGCGTCCGGTCTCACTGCACTCGAGCGGGCTGCCCCCTCGGGCTCTTACTGATACATCTGTTTTCTCTTCCAGTGTGTGAGTGGTAACTTGGGGGAGTGGTGACAGCAGTAATCAGAGTCCTTCGTCTGTAAAGAGCTTGTATTTGGCGAGAAAAGAAAGGAAGCAAATGCACATTGAGTGGATGAAGGCCACAGCTTAGCCAGGCCGAGGGGAAATGAGGGTGTTAGCTTGGAACACAGAAAAGGGCTTTCGGTAGAGTAAGTTTGAGATGACCTTTCCCTTTTGATCTAGACTGTCGGTGCATTTCCAGTCTGGACGGAGGTTGCTTGTCACTCTTGGAGATGCGGATTACGGATTTGTTAAACCTGTTGGCGCCAGCGTCACAAAACCAGGAATTTCGGGTTATGGGAGTAGGGGGCTTTGGAATCAGAGATTGAAGTTTGCGATGTCACCTTTTGTGGAAATAGTTGGGAGAAAAAGCAAAACAAAAACAGGTAACAAAGATGGACTCCGGTTGCAGTCTAACCAGGATGCAGTGAAATTCTGAAACACGAGGCAAGCTGTTGAGATGCTGCAACCTCCCGCTGGAAGATGTGCTGAGAACGGGTGCAAGAGGCCAGGAATCGCAGTGGCAGAGGGTTGTGGGAGCTTTCAGGTATATCGAGAGCACCCAGTTGCCAGCAGCAAGCTTTCAGATCATCAGGGAAGGGTTGTCAAAGTGATGAGCCAGTGTTCTGGCATGTGAAGGTTCTGAGAAGCTGCTGTTGTGGGGTTTAAGTAAGGATTTACGACCTTCATCAGGTCTTACAGGAGGAAGAGATTATCCCTTTGAGAAAGCCCACAGACGCCGTTACCCATTCCCTAAGGAGAAATAAAAAGTAAGCAAGTCTCGATGCAGAATCTCTGTCCTTAAGTGGCCCTGCTTAAGTGACAGAAATTACTTTCCGTGAAGCTGGCAGTGGCTGACCAGGATGGTTGTGCCATTCGAAAAGCATGTTCTGATTGTTCTGAAAAGACTGCTCAGACGCACAGGTACAGGAACGCAGAGAAAAGCAATAGGGTGAGTCAGCACTAGGCGACGCTCTCAGCCGAGGGGCTCTGTGGTTGCAGTGCGAGCCGATGGCAGCGACCCAGCTGGCCCTGTGGGTGTAAACAGCAAAATATTAAATCATTGTCCCCGTACTTTTTCCATCAACGTGTGTCACGTTAGAAAACCTATTAATGTACTTTTGTATCAAAGTGTGTCACGTTAGAAAACCTATTAATGTACTTTTGTATCTTCATTGATTATGTAAAGAAGTCATTGGCATCATAAAGTTCATGCCCATTATTTTTTTCAGTCTCGTGGGGAAAGAAACTCCTTCACCTTTACATCAGAAATGCGTAGATGCCTCCCTGTTGTTTACAGAACGGTTATTTTTCTCTCATTTCAGATGCCTGTGCCGTGGATGACCTGACTAGGGCCAACCAGGAGAAGCAGGACAGACATTTGTGGCAAGTTCTAATTGCCAGGAGCAAAACATCAACTAAGAAAGTGATTGACGTAGGAAAAGCAGTTAATTTGCATGCAGTGCATAATTTGAGCTCCAGTATGAATAGTGGCATTGCTTCAGGAATGGTGGCTGCAGAGTTTCACATGTGGAAGCACATGCTCCTCCCTGGTGAGCCTGACAAGATGCATGTGGTAGAGAAACTCGAGAGTCCCGGCCCAGCTAGAAAACCCCTCAGATATCCTGAGCATTCTGGTGTTCATCACAGGTCTCAGGCTTTGCAGCAACCTCTGGAACTTAGTGGAGAAAGGAGAGACTTCAGCAGAGAAGCAGTATTCGTTAGCCGTGGGAAGAACTTGATGGGAGGGAATGCCCGTCACTGTCGCGAGGGCAGGAAAAACTGTAATGTGTCCGCCCTCGTTGCCCACGGGAGAGCTGAGGCAGGGCAGATGGACGATGAGTGTGGTGAATGGCCACCATCCCTTGTTGACAGATGGCCACATTGGAATCTTCATAAAGGTTTCAAAGGTGAACACCACGAATGCAGTCAAAGTGGGAATTACTCTGGAACCAAATTAAACCATACTCAGCTTCAGAAACTGCCACCAGGTGGGGAAGCTTTTGAATACAGGACATGTGAGAAGACACTTCATGAATTCTCTTTCCTTTCTAAACATGAGAAGGTGCAGGCAGCTGATAAACCTCAGGAGCTATGGAAAATGGCTGATAATCCAACACACAATAGATGTCAGCGTACTGCGACTGGAGAGACACCCTTCATGTCCAAACAGCGCCAGAGAACTCACTCCTGGAAGTCAGGTCTTACTGAATGTCAGCAATCTCATACCATGAACACTTATGAATGTAAAGACTGTCAGAAAACTTTTTTTCAAAAGTCAGCCCTTGTTGTACATCAGAAAACTCACACAGGAGAGAAATCTTTTGAATGTAAGCAATGTATGAAATTTTTTTACCGGAAATCAGCCCTCACTAAACATCAGAGAATTCACACGGGAGAGAAACCTTACGAATGTCATGAGTGTAGGAAAACCTTTTACTGGAATTCAGCCCTCACCATTCACCAGAGAATCCACACAGGAGAAAAACCCTTTGAATGTACAGAGTGTGGGAAAACATTCTGCCACAAGTCAGACCTTAATGTACATCTGAGAAGTCATGCAGGAGAGAAACCCCATGAATGTCAAGAGTGCGGGAAATCTTTCTACTGGAAGTCAGCTCTCACTGTACACCAGAGAACACACACAGGAGAGAAACCCTACGAATGTCAAGAATGTAAGAAGATTTTCTCCCGGAAGTCAACGCTCACTGTACACCAGAGAACTCACACAGGAGAGAAACCCTATGAGTGCAAAGAGTGTAGGAAGTCTTTCTACTGGAAGTCAGCTCTCACTGTACACCAGAGAACCCATACGGGAGAGAAACCTTACGAATGTCAAGAGTGCAGGAAAACATTCTATAGAAAGTCAGCACTCACTGTACATCGGAGAACTCACACGGGAGAAAAGCCTTATGAATGTAAGGAATGTAGGAAAACTTTCTGTCATAAGTCAGACCTTAATGTGCATCAGAGAACTCACACAGGAGAGAAATCTTTTGAATGTAAACAATGTGGGAAGTTTTTTCATCGAAAATCAGCCCTCACTAAACATCAGAGTACTCACAGACAAGGGAACCTGTATGGAGGTCAAGAATATAGAAAGACTGTAAACCATAATTCAGACCTTCATGCAGGAGAGAAGCCCTATGAATGTCCAGAGTGTGGGAAATCTTTCTACTGGATGTCTGCCCTCACTGTACACCAGAGAACTCACACGGGAGAGAAGCCCTATGAATGTCCAGACTGTAAGAAAACTTTCTCCCGAAAATCACATCTTAGTGTACATCAGAGAACACACACAGGGGTGAAACCCTATGAATGTCCAGACTGTGGGAAATCTTTCTACTGTAAGTCAACCCTCACTGTTCACCAGAGAACCCATGCGGGAGAGAAACCTTATGAATGTCAACAGTGTAGAAAAACTTTCTCCCGCAAGTCACACCTTAGTGTACATCAAAGAACTCACACTGGAGAGAAGCCCTATGAATGTCAAGAGTGTAGGAAAGCTTTTTCCCGGAAGTCAGCCCTCATTGTGCATCAGAGAGCTCACACAAGGAGTGAAACCTGTGAGTGCACGTAAGGTAGGGATTGCCGCCGTGCATCAGAGAACTCACGGGAGAGGAGCACTGTGAACATAACGCCATTCTCCAGGAAGTCCGCCTTGCCTGCCCCGAGAGTTCACGTGGGAGATGAGCCCCATGAATGTGAGAGAACACGGGACACCTTTGTGGTGAGCCATCTTCCTAAATAAAGAATTCACACGGGAGTGTGGAATGTTCTCGCAGAGACTGGGGGCTAACAGACTTCATTTCTCTGTCTCCCTTTATCCTTTACTTGAGCTTTTGCAGAGTAAAAAACTTTCTGGTCTGGTGCAGACACGGTGTTGTGTGTATTCTTCCCACGCTGTCCCTGTGCTCTGGTCCCACTGTACAGCGATAAACTCCCCGCAGGGGATGTCTGCCTGCTGAGCCGTAGGGTGCATGTGGCCATGGGATCCAAGACAGTGGGTATGGGGAGCAGCTTTAAGGTTCTACCTCAGCAGTCTCCGTTTGTACTTTTCTTGGCCGAGAAGCATTTCACCTGTTTTAGCTTTAGTGTGTGGTCTGTTAGAATGCGCTCTTTATATTTGCTTTTTTTTTTTAAATTTATTTATTTGTGCATACAGAACTGGGGTACAGGCCAGAGGCTCAGGGGCGGTGAGAGGCTTCACCAGAGACAGAGTGGGGAGCAGAACAGGCAGATCGACGAAGTACACTGCTGAGGGGAGCAGCGGGCGGGTCAGGAGAGGTCTGGCCACGCCATGTGGTCACCTCCGGGGTAGGCGGGAATCGAACTCATGTGGAAGCGGCTTTAGATTCTCAGTGCTGTGCTTTAACCCGCTGCGCCACCAGGGAGGGCCATATATTTGCTTTTTGTAAAAAAACACAGGAAAATCAGCCCGTGTTGTCAGCTTTCATCATCAAGTCAGTTGCTGGCAAATTCAAAGAAGGAATAAACTGCTTCAGATCCATGAATGCCTTTACCCTGGCCTGACAGCTCACTGAACACCGATACTCAGCTAAAGCTTTAGAAATGCTCTCAGTGTACCCCAACAGTAGAAAGTGTTAGAAGAGGCTGTGCGTCCCCCTTGGTGATAAAATCCCTGCGAGAGAAGCACAGTGTTCGGCATTCCTGGCAGTTAACTCACCTCCACAGACTGGACATACGGAGGTGGTTTGGAACGTTGACATGTGAGTTCATGTTTAAAATAGAGCAGGCGAGTCACTACAGAGGAAGTACTGTGTTTCAGCCAGTCCAAGACTTGAAGTGGATCACGGACATTTGGAATGAACCAAATGCAATTGCACTACGAAGACCTTAGCAGTGGTTTTGAAAAGCACAGCTGATGGTCATGGTCTTCACAGCCAGAGGACAGAAACAGTTCTATCATTCTTTCTAGACAAAAACCAGTTTTGATTGACCCAGAGTAGTTTGAGCTTATAAACATCAATTAGGTCTTTAAGCACTTATATCTCTTCTCCTCCTATAAACGTTCTCAAATTGGCCCTCCTTGGTGGCACAACAGGTTAAAGCACAGCTCTGAGAAGCTAAAGCCACTTCTGCATGAGTTCGATCCCTGCTTGACCCGGAGGTGACCCAGAAGGCGTAGCTGACCCTTTCTGAAGCACCCGCTGCTCCCCTCAGCAGTGGGCTTGGTCTGTGGGCCTGTTCTGCTCCCCACTCTGTCTCTGGTGAATCCTCTCACAGTCCCTGAGCCTCTGGCTTGTACCCCAGCTCTGTATGCATAAATAAATCTTTTTTTTTTTTTTAAAGTTCTCAAATTTATCCTTTATTCAAAATATTGGTTTCTCAATGTGTGTATTCTCAAATGGAATCTTGGAACGTAGGTAAACTTGCTTTAGCTTTTAATGACCTCAAGGTTTTTTTTTTGTTAAAAACCACAGGAATAAGATACCAAAAGATGGTGCATTCCAAGGAGGAAGGAAGTGCTGAGTACTGGTCCCCAAACTCTGGAACCCAGTAGGGCAAGTCACCATAACATGGTTTGAGTTATGTAGGTCCACTTAATGCAGATGTGTCTTGATAAATGTATTTTAATTTTTAAATTCTGACAACTTAAAAACTATCCCAGACACAACCTAGTATCATAGAAATATCTAAAATATTTTGCTGAAAAAAGCTAGGATGATCGTAAGTGCATGACATATAAGCAGCTGAGTGTCTCTTTGCTGTTACACGTACCCAAACCTACTAGAAAAGGTTAAAGTTTACTAACCCTAACGCATACCGCCAGATGTCACCACGTGCGGCTGAGTGCTGTAGCTTGGATCATAACTGCGCAGTTAACTACTTGTACGTTCCAGTAGGCTCGGATGTTGCCAGGCGCACTTCAGGTGTCGGGCGATGCTCAGCATTCCTTGTCAGGGTTTCTCCATCAGTTCTTCATTTCTTGAAGTCTTAGGGTCATGTATAGTTTTCTTCAGGTTTCACGCTACACTGTAACCCTTGAGCAGCACTGTAGGACCCATGCGAGCTGCCACTCCTGGCGTGGGAAGTGCTGCTCAAATGCAGTCTTGACATCACAAGGAAGTGTGGATGCTTGATCCATGCAGCAGGTGTGTGCAGCCGCCGTTCCCCCACATTTCGAGATCACTGAATCTTGCCTAATGGCCCCCACTTAATACTCTTTCAGCCATTGCTGTAGAAATGTCAGCAGATGAAAATGCCTCACACTCACTGCAAGAAAAGTCCTGAGGAAGCAGTGATGTAAGGACACGCGGTGCACCTTCTGGAGACCACGCACATGGATCACCAAATGCAGAAGAGTGAGTGCATTTCCTTTGGGTTGTAGCGGTACTTCTGTTTCCCTAGATTGTGTCACTGTAAGAATACAGCATGTAGTGACTATAATATACAGAATACAGCATGTAGTGACTACAATGTACAACGCACGTGTTAACTTCCCCGCAAGGCTGTCGGTAGGTCCGTGCTCGGGTAGTCACGGTAATGACTTACATGCGGATGTTGGGCCTTGGGGCGTCTGTTCAAGAGGCAGCTGTGAGAAATTGTTCTTGGAAACACTGCTACACCTTCACTATTGTTGGGAGTGACCAAAGATTTACAAGGACTGAATTAGGGCGGTAAAGAATTGAGCCTTGCATCCAAGCTTGATAAAGTGGTAGTAAACTGACCTTGAGATTCTGGATGGGACTAGCTGAAGGTAACAGCAAACTGGGCCTCACATCAAGGACACAGTGATGAGTCACCCCTTTTTGGGGCTTGGATCCTGCTAGCTGCTTGGAGTGACAGGAAATCCCCCAAATAACTTTGCTGTAAAAGGAAGAAAATGTGTACAGTGGATGACCACCTGCAGCAGGACCAGGGTATGGGTCCTAGGATCCTGGGGCCCGCTGTGAGAACGTTGTTTCTGTGGCAGCTGGTCCCGGCTGGCCAGTATTTGGAAGTCCGAGTTCACCCTTGGGTCTGCCTCCGTATTTCCTGACTGCTTTACTCCAGGGGCTCCCACAAACGAGCATCCACCTTAGAGGTGCAGGGTCTCGGGCAGTGCGGAGGACCTGGGAGTCAGAGCACACCGGCCTCGAGTCCAGGACACTCCCTGCCCCTAGGGCAAAACGCCCTCAGAGCCAGGAAAGGAGATTCTGTGAGTCACTAGCCTGTCGTTGGGTGAGCCCAGTGTCTATATCTGACATAAGAATTAGGGGAGATTGATTTCTTTATAGGGTCACTGGTTAGTCAGTATCCTATTCATCTTAGCGAAAATACCTTCCTATGTGAAAAGAGGTCGGGGTGCACGTCAAAGGACGAGAAAAAAATAGACAACAACAATCTCAATCTTTCTGAAAGCTCCGGCTCAGTCAGTAATGCAATATTGACAGTCAAACCATAAAGTCAAGCCATAAACTTTTTTGTTCTTTTTCCTTCATAACAAGAGACTTTGTCCTCAGAAACCTTAATTTTTTTTTCAAATTTCCATTTTCCTTATGTTATCAACCCAAGCAAAAGGAAAAATATTGTACCCAATACAACCTTAGAAGCACCTGTTTTAAAACATTAGAGCACAAATTAGTTACCATGGACCAAAAATTATCCCAGATTGTGTTTTCAAAACATGTATACCAGTTTTTATTAGTTTCATTTGTTTGATTTCTTTTCAGTATCTATAGGTACCACCGAAACCAATTTTATAACACCTCGAGGCCAAGAGCAAGACAATTAAGCACAAGAGCAAGACATACAGACATGCAACATATAGACAAAGCAGTTTTCTTAGTTATGCCACGTGGAAGCTTATGTAGCTGCAGCTTTACTCATATAGACTCAGAAAAAAAAAATTTTGAATTCCAAAAAAAGTTCAGTGTTGCTGAAATCACAAGTTTCAGTTGGTCTCCTATAAACCTAAGACTTAGGAAATAGGAAGGAAAAGTTGCATTCATCACAGGAGTTACATGTTTTTCAGTGTTTAAGCATTTCCACTCGTTAGAAGTCAATCCTGGGTGTCCTATCCAGCAGAGAAAAGTCAAAACAGTTAACTTTCAAGCAAAAGCAGTCATCATGTTGTTAGCCACTCAGCTTGCAATCCTTGGGATTCCTGGAAGAGAACCTGAAAAAGCAAAATCAAAAATCAGCAGTTAACTTTCAATTAAAAGGAGTCATCTCCTTACTTCTGTTACCCACTTTGGCACAGAAGCGGAAAGAGCAAATTCAACGTACAAATTCTTGATGGTAACTCCCCACACAAGGGAGAAAACACAACAACACAGGTATGAAAACCTGGTACAGTTACGCCACACACTATGAAGAGCGCTTTCCACAACAGACCTTCCTCAGTAGGAAGCAGAATCTTAGAATCTTGTCTTACACCAGTCATCAAACAGATCCAGAATTCAAATGGCAAAGATGCCCCAAACAAATTGTGCAGACAAAATTCACAACAGCAAACCCTTTAGACTCAATATTTTCTTCTCTAACTTTTCTGATCTAACCTTTGCAAAAATTCAAGCTAACTCCAAGAATCCATTAAGGTTACCAGTATTTACCAGGTACTTATCAAGGCTTAGTCTTTCTTTGCATCCAAGCATACCTTTGCTAACTTAAGCACCACTGCCCCATTGTTGGTTTACAAACCCCTCACGCAGAGATCAGGGAGTAGTCAAAGTCAAATCAATCTACCTCAGAAAAACCCATCATTGCTTTTAGAAATGCTAACAAGATCTGCAAAACAGCAGAGGTCACAAAAGAAAAAAATCCACAGTCCTAGCAACTTAACTTTAGTTAACAAAGGAAGTAGAAAATCTTAGGGGGAGCCTAAAAGAACAAAAATTTCCAAGTTTCAGAGAAGCCAGCCAAGTGGCC